ATGTTTTTTTTTTTATTTCATTCATTCATGTTGTTTCCTGTTTTACTTTGAAACTCCTACCTCCTCTCATTTCAGTTCACTTCACTTCCTGCCCCTGTGTGTGTGTTTTCCCTCCCTGTTAATGACTTCACCTGTCTGATTGTCTGTCCCGCCCCGATTAGCCTCACCTGTGTCTCGTTATCCTTCCCCTCACCAGAGTGTTTAGTGTGTGTCTTGGAGGCCGTTTACACGTTGCCGGCTATTTTCATAAACGGACATTTCACCGTCTCCGTTTTCAAAAAGATCTTCGTTTACACTTACCCGTGTATATATACACAAGAGCATGCCAAACCTGTAGGTGGCAGTGTAACGAGAAGCTCAAGCCTTCCATGTATTCATTGTCACCATAGCAACATAGGTCGCACTTTTTACACAGGCGCAAGTTCTGGCGCATACTGTGACGTCGGCTGCCTATAACTCCGTTTATCTGCGTTTATCTCAGTTTACATGCAAACGCGCAACCGGAGTTTTCCAAAATCTCCACTCTGGCCGGAGTTTTTAGAAAGACTCGTTTTCAGAGGAGAAATCTCTGTTTGCGTGTAAACGAAGGGCACAAACGAAGGAAGATGTCTCCGTTTATCAAAATCACCGTGTACGTGTAAACGGCCTCTTGTTTTCTCTCAGTCTTAGCTCCTTGTGTGTCCTGTCTGTGTCCTTTTCTTGTTGTTTTTGGATTCAGCCTGTTTATTGACTCTGCCTCTGCCTCATCCCTCCTGGATTTGTTTGCCTCCTTCTGTGTACCAAATCTACCTTTTGACCAGTAGAGACTGTGTTACTTCTCCCAAACTATCTCCAGAGTTGTGCATTTGAGTCCACTCTCTCCTGGTTCACCAGTTGTTACAGTCCATTTTGTGTTGTAATTGTAATATATAGGCTAGCTAGGTCTTTGATGCTGCTCTGCACTGCACTCATACGGTGGTTACTGCTGATAATGGGATAATGGCGTCACAGAAGCATAGTACCCATCCTCCAGTTTTCCCCTAAGGTTAACAATGTTAGCTCTGTCAGTACTGTTGCCATTATCATCGCTGTTTATGGACTTAGCAACATTAGCTGCTCGCTGCCAGCTCAGCCTCCTCCATGTTAAGAACATAGACTGTAAAAATAATGGACCTAGCTCCTGTAAAGTCACCCATTTGTTTGTGACCCTGTTTGAACAAGAGGCTGGCACTGCTGAGGAGCGAGGGGTGGATCTGACTGTGAAGCTGAGGACACTTTCAGGAGACAGCCTGTCACTCAAAGCGGCCCCCCTTTAATTATACGCAACTTTGAGTCTTAACAAAATGTAAGTGGGTGAGTTGCATTAAAATTCTCCCCCTGTGCAGTTGTCCTGAAGGTGGAAATTAGCTAAAGAGATCAAAACCATTGTTAGTAACAGGCTGTACACATTTCTGCTGTGAAGTTGGGCATTTTAACATGGGGGTCTATGGGGACTGACTGGCTTCTGGAGCCAGCCAAGTGGCCGATAGTTTTTGGCACTTCCTTTTCGGCATCATTTTTCAGCTCCCGACTCTGAATCATTTCTTTGAATGTCACCTACAGCTCCTCTAAGACTTTAAGCAACTGTTACCACACACTGAGCATTAATCCACATAACAAGTAAACCTATCTCCATATGTACAATCGGCGGACTGCCCCTTTAAGACATTTGCCTGGTTATGAGCAAGACCAGTGTGTGTGTATCAGTGCATTTCCTCTGACATTTCAGCACCCCACCGAGAGACCTTGTCTGTAGAAAGTGGGTCGTTAATGCGAGCAGGGACTATGAAGGGTGCCGTCATTGATGGTATTAAAACTACTCTGTACAGTGCACTTTATGAAGAGCCCTTAAGCAAGGTGCTCAAGTGTTTAACTACTCCAAAGTCTGTGAAAGATGCTCTGGCAGGAAAGGCCACAAATATGAAGTGCATTGAAGGGTCACTTGTGCGGACTTGTATCTATATATATATAGGCTACTGTATGTGCATTCATGTGTGGCATTTAAGCATACATTCAGTGTAAATTCTTTTCCTACAGTTTTTTGTTTTTGCAGTCTGCCAGCAATCGCATCGATGCAGTTTTATCTCACTTTTGTGGAGCTCCATCTATGGTAAAATAATAGTCACAGGGGTATAATAATCAAACTCTGATAGCCAATCTTTTAGTGAGCAGACCTGGGAAATGCAAAGCAAAGCACTAGCAGGAGGAAAGGGCAATGAAATCAGGTGGATAGATGGGACTATTGCCTGACTGGATGGCTCCTGTGCCCCACAGTCCCGCTGAGTGATAGCCCAGTAAAAAATGGAGTCAGCGATACTTTCAGTGATTTAAACCAACTGCCTAATACGAAGCCCGTTCCCCACCACCGGGCGTCAGAGGTAGATAGAGAGAAGAAGTAAAAACAAACGACACCCAGTAGGGTTGTTAAAGCGATAGCTGGTTAGTCGACGGACAAACCGTGGTGGCTCATTGGTCAGCTGTCAAACTGCCGGCATTTGCTGCGTGGCTGGTTCAGCGGTGGCCAAAGTAATGAGGTGGATGGCAGCTTCACAGGACTCACTGGTCATTTGCTTACTGATGCGCCGCCTCGACCAACTGACTGGTTTGTTTTTCTGGCTTGCTTCCTGTCTGTTTTCTAGGGACAATCCATGACTTTAATTTTCCCACTGCCCACTTCTCACTCTCCCGCTGTGCTGTGAACCACATCAGCAAAATGCAATGTTCCTCTCGGTCAGATGATGAGAGCCGGTTAGCCATTCATCTAGGTGTGAAATAGCCTGAGGAAACTCCCGCTCTATGACAGCGCTGATCTGCCAGGGTATCAAAGCCTGAAAGACTTAAAATGGATTTAACACGGCTCTGAACATACAATCTCACTCCTTCTTGCTGTGTGGGGTTTCATAAAGGATTTATGTCTATTTGCTCGTAAAAAGTCATTATTTTCTCCATTGGCTACATGCTACGATTGGTGAGGAGCCTGTTCGCTCAAGGATTTGATTATGACCTGGGAAAATCCACAAGCAGTAGCAAAGATAAAACAAGACTCTGGCCTTTGACTTTTTCCCCTGGAGCATTGACAAGAACAGCACTGTACTATACAAAGCAGATAACCACAAGCATGACTTTATCAAATGAACGGAAATCACATTTCCTGTAGGTACAGATACAGAGCTGAATCTCATTCTTTATGTCATGCCTGTTGCAGAAAATGTGATATTCTGTGACGCTCAAACCCTTCAGAAACACATCTCAGTGATGTACAAAACATGCACTTTTAGATATCAGATCATAAACATATATGTGAATGTGCAGAATCTTTGTTCACAGGCATCGTAATGAGATGACTAACCTTATTAGATATGTCTAATTTAAAGAAAACATGAACAGAATGTGCAGATTTGCATAAGTAAGCTAACAGCTGTTCCCCGTATTCGAAACAGCATGTTAACATTCTAATCCACACAGAGGACAGAAATGGACGACATCATCACATTTCTGCAGGATTTTTAAAAACAAAATGGTCTTTAATACTCTAATACAGACTCTCATTTTTTCTCCAAGACAAGACTTTGAAAAATGAGGTCATTTAACTCAGGTTTGCTTGATCAGCTTTGGTTTGGTTGATTCCCTACAGAGAAGGGCAGCCTCACAACATCACGTCTGAACGAGAGCACCGTCTCCTCAGGAGGAGGCGACATTCAATGCCACTTGATAGTAATCGCTGTGACAGGACTAATCATGCTGCCAACTCCAATAACATAATGCCTGGCTCCCTGACAGCCTCACACATGACAGGACGGAGTTGACAGCATGCACGCAGACATACATGCCACGAACGCGCCCACGCCTTTCTGAGACTGATGACGTTTACTCACAGTGTGTGAACACATTTAATCCACAATGACCTCACAGACTGTCTGGGTTGATGAAACTTTCCTCAGTGTTTGGAAATGACTTCATTTTATGTGACAAAAGAATAAAAGCTTCACTGCAATCAATGCAAACCGGTGTGATATAACAGAATAGTGTGGGCCCTCTTTTACTTCCCCTGGACACTTGGTAATATGTAGCACCATATGTCAAGCGAGCGGCCACTTGCTGAGCGAGGGGGCAGGGTCACAGAGGAGAGGAGGAGGACTGAAAATGAAACACCTGCTGTTAAACGGGCCCAAGAGTTGAGAATAATACCTGATGTGAAGCACTTAAAATGGTGAGGGATAAAGTGTGGGTGAGTCAATCTCATATTTAGCCTTTAAATATTTAATAGCAGAAAAAATGATGAAAGCTTACACCGATGCCCTTTCAATGTACATAACTGCTCCCTGACTCCCTCAGCCCTCTACCTGCCCATCTTACAGAAGTCCACTTGAGTTTCAAGCTGTTTTCATCAAAGTATTTCCCACGAGGGAAGGTGCCAAGGAAAAATCAATTACATTAAAAATCATTACACCTCCTTCACAGACAGAGCGGACATTTATCTTGCCAAACACATTTAGGTGTACTGGTTCCAGGGTCCTGGTATTGTGCATGCTGGCCCTCTGGTACGCTGCAGTGGGATAGTTAAATTGGAACAGAGCGGTCGTTAATGTTATTTGTTACACCTGTGCTTTCACTGCACCGACATCTCAATGCAATGCCAAATGCAGATACACACCCTGAGCTGACGCAGCACCTTTACAGCTGAAATATGGAGAACTGTCACAGTAGTAAGTCTTTGCATTACAGTGATCATTTGGTGGTAAATTTCTAGTTCGAGCAGGTAACAAGTGATTGATGGGGAAAAAGCTACAAACTCAAACTGATGGTTGCTGGATTTGAATAACGCCCACCCCGGCCCTGCAAAGTTTATTTTGGGATGATATCCTCATATTTCATTTTTATTGTTCATTTGCACTACTCATCTTTGCGCAGTGTATAGAGAGGAAAAGCTGTTGTGTGTCTCAGGAAGACTCTCTTGTATATGAAGAAAGGACACACTGCAATGCAGATGATGCTTTATTCAGATGCAAGAACAAAAGGCATTCAGTGAGGCTCTGAATTACATTTTATTCCATAGACAATGCACTGATTAACAGTAAAATTATATGTTTTGTGTTACAGAGTGTCGTACATAAAGTAGAAATTATCGTCTGTACATTAGATTACAAGCAACGTCATTTCAAGACTAGAATACAGGTAATGAGCAAATTATGTATGTAAAAAAAAGAGTTTAATGGTGGCATGTGTGCAGATCATGGACAGCATGAAATTATACATTATGTATATTTTTAATTTCTAATCAAGAGAATATTCTGTATGGTACACCAAGTGTCGCCCACTGCACAATGACTCTTAATGGTACAAATGCCAAAAGTCACCTTTTGTGCCCGAGAATGTATCGTTATCTTCGTCTCATGATGGATAAACATCACTGGCAGGTTGCTACACCAGCCTCCACCATTCCCAGCCTACAAAGGTGACACTTGCCCCCTCAACATTTGTTTCCTGCACATAATGTGTTTCTTGTGAGATGAAACATTTTGTACATTTTGTCGCATGAGATACAGCATGTGACACTCGATGCCTCATGTAGCCAGACTCAGCTGCTGTTTCTGTAATATTTCAATCTCAATTTGGCCTTGTGTTTTTAAAGGAATACTTTTCCAGCAAAGTGATCATTTGTGTATCACTTACTCACCCCGTGCTGAGTTCAATTCATGAAAACCACTCAGCCTTTCTTGCACACCTCAGGTGAACGAAAAATACAAAAATGGATATAATTCTTGAGGAACTGAAATCATACAAGGGCACATTTAACAACAGCAAAACTATATTAGAGCATCCACTTACAAAAGCTGTGTCACAATTCAGGGGCTGCAGCCTTCGAAGGCTGCATTTGAAGACTGATAGTGTCACATTGGTGCAACCAAGGTTGTCCCATTTTGAAGGCTCCTTCAAATGTGGCTGAGAAATGCAGCCTTCTTTGCCAGAATTTGGAGGATGCAACGGATGAATCCTTTGTGACCCAGCCTATCCCAAGATGCACTGCGCACTTATATATTAAGTTAAGTTAACTAACAGTTGTTAACTAGCTAATGGTTAACTGTTAAACAGCTTTAACAATCTCAATTCACCACAGTCCATCAGCCTGAAATATATCAAATGGTGGTGTCTATGGCGGTGAATCATCTCCTCAAGTATTAAATAACATATATATCGTAACAAGGGTGGCGCTGTGGCGCAGTGGTTAGCACTGTCACCTCACAGCAAGAGGGTTCCCTCCAGCAGGGAGCCCTTCTATGCGTTTGCATGTTCTCCCTGTGTCAGCGTGGGTTTTCGCCGGGTACTCCAGCTTCCTCCCACAGTCCAAAGACATGCAGGTTAATTGGTGACTCTAAACTGTCCTTTTGAACTTCAGTTGTCGATTCAATTGAGCGGAGTTCAAACGCACACACTTGCCTAGGCGCACTACTCTTCTGTGGGTAAGGCTGTTTACCTACAAGTCTTTCAAATAGTACGGTTTTAGCAAACATGCATGTGTTAGGGACGTACTGAGCATACGACTGGATAAATGGAGAAACAGATATTTCGATATAGTTGTTGTTGTCAAAAGCGGACCCCTATGACTTTAATTCATCCAAAATTTTCTAAGGTTTTAGATCCTTCGTTCACCAGAGGCATGCAAGAGAAACAAAATTTTCTTCATGGATTCAACGTAACATGGGGTGACTGATTGATATACAAATGCTAATTTTGTGGGTGAAGTAACCTTTAAACATATTTTCTGTCATGGTGGCTGGTCGCCTGAAATACTGCAAATAATAACAGTCTATTGTATATTCTTTCAAAATTGACTGAAAGCAGCGATACCAAAAACAGACCGTCTGTATGTACAGAGTGACATCTTGATACACAAGTTTTAAGTCAAAACAAACAAACAAACAAACAAAAACAAAAACCCTACATGAAACAGATAAAGTTAAACTCTGCATTCATTTTGGAATTCACAATTTAAGCTTTTACACACATTGTTTTTCGGTTAATATCTCTTCAGTTCACGAGGCAGCTTCAATATGACAAATATTTAGAATCGCAATGACTTGCTGGTCCACCGTGATCATCAGAAATCATCTTCTGGCAAATTCATGGTTTCATGTTTATAAAAAAAGCAACAGGACACTTAAAGTATTTTACATGGGAGGGTAATACAATCATGTTCATCTTTACAGATCATTAAAAAAAATACTGGTACACAGAATATCGAGTAGAGCTACTGTAAAGGCAACTGGCAAGTATAGCATACAGCACGATACGTCAAGCACAAGCAATTCTAAAGATTACAACAGATGTACAATCCTGCTTGGCTCACTTGTTAACTTATTCAGAGGAGAAGTAACTCCAATAAAACCAATTGCTGTTATAATGGCTGTTACGCTGTGGTTAATCATATACTGGTAGACACACATGTTCACACTATATGCCACAATAGCACGCTCTGTGAGCTGCGCAAACAGGCTGCTGCCATCGCCTTTGCTGGTTTAGAGGATCCACAGTTCAGCACAAGGATCCAGTGTGATGCACACAGCTGGTTCTCACTCTGTACATTCAGAAGTTTGTCAGATTCAGCAGAGAGAACATAAGGCGCTCTACTGTATGTGTACTTAATGATAAAGTCCAGCAAAAGCGTAGAAAACAGCTTCACAGAGACAGAACAAAGATCGAAGAAGGAAATGAAAGGATGGAGACTGAAGGGGCAGTATATAAAACAAAGGGTTAGGTGAATGGAGAGGAGGGAGCACAGCTGTACGTCAACACAGTCAATTTTCCTGAAGTGACCAAAGCCAGCACGGTGCTGTGGAGATCAATCAATGAGAGCAGTGTTAATAGGGTGGACTCCATACAGAGGGTGGACAGGGAGCACCGTTTGTGCTGTAAATGACTTTGAATAACACCTCCTGTCCAGTGATGTCTTCATGTGGTGAGGGAGCCGCAGAGCCTCTCTCACAAGTCCAAAATCAGATCAGATTATTTACCGTCCAGTCAACTCCCATTAATCCACATTTCCTGGCACCTTACACTGTCCTCTTGCACGTACAAATAGAAAACATCAGGAGGAAAAGTGACTGACTGGACTGAAGTCATATTAACTCTGCAAACAAGACAAGTATCTGCGACAGGAGAACGGTTAGGAGAGGAGGTTTAGATCAATGAGGCAGCTTTGTCTGGAGCGTACAAAAAAAAAAAAAAAAAAACATTAGTGTGGTGTGTGGGCGGCTTTTATAGATTTTTATAGATCTGTCTGTCTTTGTTTACTGCACATGTTCAGTCTGTATAGTCTATCTTGTCATAGTAATGATAATAATAATAAAAACTAAATAAAAAATTCTATAAAGCTGTAATGCACAATTTAAAGCAACAGCTTCTTCAGTCAGGAGGGGCACTGTAATGATACTTGGTTTCTGTTTTAATCTGTCTTAAACCCATCTCTGTATGTGTTTCAGTAAGAGTAAAAGCCTTGCTCAGCCATGCAGTTAGTAACAGTTAGACTGCCCGGCAGGTGAACGGCCTGACCTGATGCAGCGCTGCAGTTAAGCTTGCGACACATCGTCAAAACAGTCTGTGCTATTGAGTCTCAGTCATGAGCCTGGATTGTTTGTGTGTATGAGTTGTTTGCGTTTGTGTGGTCAGAGCCCTGTGGTGACCTGCGTGACCTCTGAGTTGAGATCGTCGTTGGCAACGCCGCCACAACAGCGAGAGTCCACCGACGACCCCTCCAAGGCTAGTCATACCTGCAGAGAGGGGTTAAAAGCAGATAAAGTATATTTATGTTAGGTTGTATACAGTAGATGTACTTTTACATGAATGCCTGCTCACAGCCATACATCTGAAGTGAAGATTGAAAGCACTCTCATGTCTGTACAGTCAATCTGAAGCTACAATCTAAAGGCTAGGACACATGCTGCATTTTTAACCTGGAAAATGTGAGGTTGTGCACTGGATGCTACTCTTGTGTCTACTCTGTGCCAACTTTCAAGGTCGTAGAGGGAGGCTGCATCTGGAGTTACTAAGCAAACCATTACCAGCATCATTTCATAGTCTGTTTACTGGAAATCCTGAGTTGGAGCTGATCCTCTTTCAGGCGTAATTTTTGAAGTGTGCATTAGGCCTAAAGTGTTGTACATGGAGCAGATGTAAAGCTCTGAGTAGCCCTGCACTAAAATGATCCACTTCTTCTCCATATTTACCACAGACTGATATTTACAAGAGAAAGGGAAGAAAACACCCAGCTGTCATTGGTTGTTTGTTGTCAGATGACATGAGGTGCACGTTGCTGTGTCCCAAAAGCTGAACTTTGTTTATCTCAGCAGCCGTCACACTCTGGGAAACAGGCACATGGAAATGCTGCTCTTGCTTTTGAGCACGCCCTCCATACGGCTACATTGAAATCAATGGATTTGAAGATGTAAAAACATGGCATGTGTACGAGCCCTTAGCTTAACATAAGGACTGAAACAACTACCTTCAAGCATTTCTGAAGCTCACAAAAAAAGTGGTTTTATGGGAGGTTATGTGCCCGACTATTTCTTGGCTACTCCCTTGGCCAGGTCTCTCTTGTAAAAGAGATTTTCAATATTAATGGGACTTCCTGGTTAAATAAAGGTAAATAAATAAATAAAAAGTGACCTCTGTGCAGTCTCCACTGGAGACCTGGCAACCTTAGGCCCTGATCACATGTGTTTAAGCAGCATTTTGTAATTGTTTTTAATAAGAATGGAGCTTTTTGCTTGTGATTGTTGCGTCGCGATGCGCCTCGCATTTCAGCACCTCACTTTTCAGCACTGTAGGTGCCTGCATTTTTGCTGGAGTGCTCGGAACTCCTCAAGTTGAAAAAACCCGCTCCACCTCATCTCTTTTTTTGACATCTTTTTCCCTATTGTCCAATCGGATGATTTGGTGGTCATGACAACAAGTTTACAGCTGGTAAACAATGGAGGAGAAACTGGTGGTAGCGGTTGCTGGATAGCCGGAGCTATACGGCCTGATGATAGACAGCAGGTTGTCATACCGCCCTTGAGTCATCCTAAAATATGCCTGGAGACGGCCAGCATGGATTCGAAGCTCCTGGACCAACTGGTGGTACTCCCCATGATCCACCCTCTTTAACAGGCTACTCATGTACCCACACAGATCTCCTTTCCCTGTGGCAATACTAATTACTGTGAAAACGAAATGGTAGATTGATTACATGGGAAGGTTAGTGTAAGGACGTGATGGGGTGGTTGCTTGGCAACAATAAAAAGGTGCAGCAAGTTTTTTTTTTTTTTTATTTGTTTTTTATTTAAAAAAAAAAGGCAGTGCGGCACGCTTCGCATTTTGCCACCAAGCATAGTGTTGATCTTCTCATGTAACACTTACAAGAAAGCAAATTTTTTAAAATGTTGAACACTGACTGAATCTACCTGCTGATTGGACCTTTCTCCTGTGTTTGCACTGTGGTGTTCGCGCTGTGGGAGCTTGCGGCTGGTGGCTCCGGTCCGGGACGAGTTTTGCATCTCTAACACCGAGGGACTCGGGGTGCAGAACTCACGGAAACAACGCTTGAAGTTCTCATCCAGGTAGCCGTAAAGAACCGGGTTCAGACTACTGCAGGGGGCAAATACAAGGTCACAGTTTAACACTAGAAAATAAGCTTCCCCATAAACTCACCAACATCATTTTTACCTTCATATACAGTTGAACATGGGTTGTATAATTTACAAATCAACTTAGGTCATTATATAAAACCATGAACCAACAAATGCACATTCTCACAAAGTCAATACCATTTGCTCTTATCTGTAAAACACACAATTCTTATCAGTAGCTCCTGTTATCTGCGCTTTACTCGGCTTTAATGATTTATCTCCACTTATCAAACCCACATTTTTACTTTGAATATATTTGTCTGAGGCTAATGCGAGGTGTATACCTGTTGGTGTAGCCCAGGGCAATGCAGAAGTGCCAGGTGATAGTCTGCAGCGTGGAGCTGGGGATATTGATCAGAGCTGTGAGGATGACAAAGATGTGGATAGGCGTCCAGCACACAATGAAGACTGCAACCACCACCAGGACCATACGGGTGATCCGACGCAGGTTTCTGTCCTTCTCCTGTGTGAGTATGTGAAGGAGGTAAAACGTTTAATGTTGGGGGTTAAGTGGGAGTACGAGATGATTGATGGAGAAAAGAGGAGGATGCACAGAGAGGAAAGTGGGAGGAAGGCAAGGTAAGGGAAATGAAAATGATGAAGCAAGAAGTACAGAGGAGAGTGGAGGATGAGAGGAAGGATGGGGAGAAGATGGTTAGCGGGGGATGAGAGGAGAGGTAATGTAGGAGGATCAAAGGGTGGAGAGAAAAGAAAAAAGATGGAATGGGGGAAAAGTGGTGAGAAGAAGTGCAGAGGCAACTGAAGAGCTATGAGTAGGAGCACATCATATCTGCAACCACTTTGATTTTCCATCTGCATCTACTGTTAATACATCCACAGAACGTTCTGCAGCCAGCATCTGGTACATTTTCCAAAAATTACTGTTGTTGGTTCATTTTGTTTTATACTGCAATGAATTAAAACTGAGCCACAACCTCAGGCTTAAGTTGGTTTTCCCTAATTACTTTCTCTGGAGAGCAATGAGCGCACTGTTTTTGCATGCAGGCTCTGGCCAGCCTTGTCTTTTGCTTCATTGCTCTGAAAGATAAAATCAATTAGTTATTTTGTACATAGCGTAAACCATGTAGCTGCTAGACCCAAGCTGTTGAGATTTCACAAAATGTTCACTAATGCTTGTGTTCGAAAAGTCCAATTTGCATCTAATTAAAAGCCTCTGGCACAAAGTATACAACATACCTCACTATGTGCACTAATTCTTGCTCATGTTTGTATAAGATAAACAGATTTCTCTTAACCTGGGAGCCCGATAGCATGCGCACACTCTTCAGCCGGAGGATCATAAGGCCATAGCAGACGGTGATGATGAGGACAGGCATGATGAAGGCAAAGATGAAGACGCAGATCTTCAACAGGGTGTCCCAGTACCAGGAGGGGTGGGGGAATATCAGTTTGCAGTCAACGATGCTGGATTCTGTGCAGCATGAGGAGAGATATACGTTAACGAGTAAACAGAAGCACAAACATACATTACTTCTACACAAGCAATTTCACAAGTACTTATTTGTCCTAATTTTCTCCAGGATAAAGGAACAGCGTGTAAGATTTAGGAGGAATTAGTGGCTTCTAGTGGTGAGGACTGCAGATAGTAACCAGCTGAAACTTTCCTAGGTTATAATTCTTTTACCAGGGACCCAATTGACCTTTCGCCCCGCCTCTTTGTGATGGTCCGACAAGCTGTCAGAGTAAGCATTGAGCCCACGCTGTAACCAACTGCACTCCCTGAAGAAATATTATCATATTTTTGGAAAAATGAAACAGTAATTCCAGAGAGAAGCAGACAGAGGTGTCTACAGTCACCCTGACCTCCACTGCCAGACGGGCAGGGATCTCCGGAGGAAGTCAAACAACGTTCATCTGCGCACACTGCGATGACACACAGCTGGCTGAATATCAGTAAAGTTTCCCTGCTTCCCTTCACTGGTTCCTGTACAGCAGGCTTGGTCTGTTTTTTCACTGTTACAATCATTAAAAAGCAAAAGCAGCATGTGTATACATTCAGTAGGCTATATCTTCAGTAACTAGCTAGCTAACCCTACACTTTTCAGGGTTTGATTTTGGTTTTGGAACGAGGGAAGAAACGTTTATCTTTTTCCAACCTCTCCAGGGAACGAGTATCATTAATACACAACTGAAAATAAAGAAAATCTGAAACAACTGCATTAGAGTCAATGGAGCACAGCTGTGTTATTGTCGGAACCTGGTCTGAGCTGGCCTGATGCTACGTTATGATTGGCCAGTCTGTGTCGGAGGACAGGACTTAGCGAATGGTCAGTTATCCCAAGAGGTCTCTTTCTTTGATTTGAACCACTTAATACACTGAATCAAGAGGTTTCACATTGAAATCCTTTTTCCGATGCTACTCGTCGCAGAGGGGCTTTGATCTAGGGTGGCCAATGTGAAAACACAAATGGCCCTCTCTAGAGCCAGTGCTTGGTTTGTTCGTTCTGGGCTTCTGTAGAAACATGACGGTGCAACATGGCAGACTCTTAGGACAGAGACCCGGTCCCTACGTAGACACAAACGGCTCATTCTAAGGTAAAGTAAGGTAAGGTAAGGTAAGGTAAGGTAAGATTTCAGGTGATTTTACACCAGTGAAAACATACTTATTATATTATATTCCATTTCTGCTGATATATCCTCCTGAATCCTCCACACTGATCTGTAAAACTTTGACCATAAAGCATAACATTCCTGCTTGGAGTCTGACCATTTATTTAATTTCATCCCAATATTCCATCACCTCTTTGCCAAAATCTCTCATAAAGGCAGAAATGCCATTAAAAACACCACTGTCATGTGCCCTATGGCACTAAAGCAACAACATCTTTAAGCACCACACAGAGTTACAACTTCACTGAGTCAGTAAATCCCTCATTATGCTCTCTCTTCAAAACAGAGCAGGATCACACATTAGCATTTTCAGTGGCAGTTTTCCCTCCATTTCCTCTGCAATTACGCAGAGACACCATCAGAGAAGCCTGACTGCAGGTAGCCTCTTGACTATGTAGATGGTTATATTAGGTACCAGCCAGGCATATAGCATTACATGTTTCTTTTGTGCCATTACACAAAGGAACCTAAACAACTCTCGTGGATTGTCTCCTTTTATAGATCCTGCCTGAGTATATTGCTCTTAAGGCTGGAACGCAGAGAATGAACTGAATGTGTTTTACTCCTGTTTTGTGCTTGTATTGCGAGACTTTGCCTGCTAAAAAAGCGCAGTCATGAATGGTTGCTACTTTTTGCACTTATTACTTTCTCTAACGGTTACAGCGGTGGAGGCCATGAACATGACAGGCAGCCCGATGGCCGAGGAGAGGATCCAGTTGCAGACGTTGACAATCTTGGCGTTACGCGGTGTCCTGAAGTCCAGCGCTTTGACTGGGTGGCACACAGCGACGTAGCGGTCGATGCTCATGGTGGTGAGCGTGAAGATGGAGGTGAACATGTTGTAGTAGTCGATGGACATCACCATCTTGCACAGTATGTCTCCAAACGGCCAAGTCCCCATCAGGTAGTTGACGCTCTGGAATGGCAGCGTGCTGGTGACCAAGGAGTCGGCCAGAGCCAGGTTGAAGATGTAGATGTTGGTGGCGGTCTTCATTTTGGTGTATCTGCAAAGAAAGCATACATTTATTATGAGACAACGGGTCCCTAGGCAAAGACATGTAAAACTTCCCCCTACAAAATGGTGACTGCATCATCTGTGGCTGTTTTGAGTGTCTCTTTGTAGTTATTTTGTGTCTCATTTAAAGTCATTTTAAGTGTCTTTGTGGTTGTCTTGTACGTCTTTGTTGTATATTTGTGATTATGAAGTCTTTCTGTAGTTATTTATGTGTCTCTTTGTATTTATTTTGAGCTTCTTGTCATCTCATTGGATCTCTTTGACGTCATTTTGTGTCCCTTTGTAGCTGTTTTGAGTCTCTTTGAAGTTATTTTGTGTCTCTTTGTGGTTGTTTTGAGTATCTCCGTGGGCTTTTGAGTGTTTTTAAAGTCATTTTGTGTCTCTCTGTATTTATTTAGAGTCTCTTGTCACCTTTTTGGATCTCTGTAGTCCTTTTGTGTCTCTTTGTAGCAATTTCGAGTCTTTGTTGTCATTTTGTGTCTCCTTGTAGTGTTTTCGAATATATTTTGAGTGTCTTTGTAGCAATTTTGTGTCTTTCTGCATTTATTTTGAGTCTATTGGCAGTTGTTCTGTGTGTCTTTGTAGTCAGTCACTTTGAGTCACTCTGTAGTCATTTTTAAATGTCTTTGTAGTAATTTCTCTTCGTAGTCATGTAGATTGTCTTTGTAGTCATATTTGTGGGTGCGGAAGGTGGGTACGGAGGGTACTACAGCACCCCCTATTGACAAGGGGTGGAACAACAAAGTCTGTAAACAGTGGGCTATTTTACCATCACTCATGGGGTATTTGAACCTTTGTTTTAAATTTTGAACACGATTATATGATGAAGTGCCTGTCAGAAAATAGAATATAAAAAGAGATTTAAAATGCAGGACTTTTATTAATACCTTCAATCTGACATGACAATGTCATCACGTCAGCTCAAAGTGCAAGAATCAAGGTCAGCTTATGGGTCAGCTAAACTTGGGGACATTTGCAGTAGTGAGAGCTGATTAATAGTGCGGACAGGGTGAACAGGTTGAGAAAGATCGGAACATTGCCAGGAAAGTTTTGGAGCTGCTTTTTAGATCCATAAAATATCTTGGGCATGAGGGACTTCCACTGCAGGGACATATGCATTGGGATGGAGGTTCATAGCAACATCATTCCAAAGGAAATATTAGAAATTTTGTCACATATAGTCCACAGAGAAGTTGTGTTCGTGGTGAGGGAGTGCACATTTTTTTGGCGTAACGGACCCACCGATGTAAGTAGCCTACGTCTGAGTAATTTTCCTGAAGGTCCTCAACCCAATTGCCAGAATAAACATGAATTTTATGTTTCTGGAAATGACGGATATGTAACATTTATACGTTAATACGTATAGGATATGTTGAAACTTCCTTACATTTCAACAATACTGTGGCTAACATGGCTATGTTTAGGCACAAAAAAAACCCACTTGGTTATGATTCGAAAAAGTTTTTGTTTTGGCTTAAAATACCTCTTTTGTTGGCACAATCATGGCTGGAAATACTACAGATATCTCATTAAAAAACACCAGGTTTTGTTGTTTGCTGCTCTCGAACAGTTGTCTGCTGTGGGCTCCTGCTGGCAGCCATCTCACCTAAGTGCATGCACATACATAGTTATGTGCGCACGTTTATGGCAGCACCCCTCAAGGAAAATATGTTTCTGTGTTCATGGTTGTTTTGTGACTCTTCAAGTCTCTGTGAAGGAGCAAAAGACACAATCTGAACAACGCTGAACCCCCTCAAACTCGGAAATATCCCTGGTACACTGGTCTGCAAATATGAATCAATAAATCATCATATTTATACACACAAATAAAAAGTGCAGTGAGGTCAATGTTGTCTTTTTGTCTCTGAACCACTGGAACAGCACGTACAACAATCTGGAAATCATCCAGACATTTGCAATGGAGATGTACCCTTTGAAGACATAAGAGACAACACTACAAGGACACAAGTAGAGTGCCAAGAAATTATTTAAATGTGTTGAGTTTGTGTTTGTACAGAGCACGCTTCAACCATTGATCTCCTGCCATTCGAGCAACATTTGCAGAATGTGAACGAACAGCTGAAATTATTCCATAACTCCAGGTGTGTTGCAATCGCAGCAGGAGGTGCCTCATGAGCTGGGCAGAGCATCATTTGCGATGTTTTGTGAATAATTCAGACCCCTCGCATCAGCTACCAGCTCATTTTGTAATGGCAAACTTCTGGTTTAATCAGTCCTAATGACTTTAAAGGAAGCTGTCCGCAGGAGTAAAGCCCCAGAGTCCTTGAGCTTTCAAATTCAATTCACTAAGAAACTATCTTCCTGAGTATGTTTACAGAACACACTGTGCACAAATGTTTGCTGAAATTTAAGTTTCAAATTATTCTAAAAAGTTTTGATAAACAGATACAAAAGTTAAACCTGAAAGGACAGATAAGTGTATCCCTGAGTCAACTTGCCTCTCAGTAGCTTTGAGTTACTATCCAAAAACAGGTGATCAAAGGATTTCAGTGATGGTGATGGTGGATAATTGGTCAAAGAAGAGACAGGTAGTTCAAAGAGAATAGAGGATAGGGTGGTTCATAAAAATAGCAGATAGAGCATGGATCCATTAGTACAGAGGATGATGATTATAGATGTCTCAACTGTTGAGAGGTTATGCCAACAAAGAAATATATGATATTCAATGTTTGCTATGTCAAAAAAATATAAAAGAATCTATCTTGTGCGTCATAACCCACAGCAGGAAGACCCCAAATGAAATGTGCAAGAAGCAACAAACAGAATCCAGTTATTTTACTTGTGATTAAAATGCTATTAAAGCTGACATCCATTATTCATGAGAAAACTGTAGTCAAAATGTGTTTTTTATGGATTAAAATGAAGTTTTAGCCACAGCCTGCAGCACACGACCACATCTGAATGCTTGTCAAGTCTAGGCGAAGTATGACATTTTAATCAAGCTGCTTTTGTTTTTCATAATGTTAAATGTGAGACAGATTGCTACTGCTGGATCCCCAATGAGGTCAATATGCCTGTGGGTTATTATGGAGCTCTGCAGAGAGCTAATCAACCTACAATGAAAATATTATGAAGCTATTCAGGAATTAGAGGATGCTACCTGTGAAAGGCACTTAAATTCTGCTTTCACTGATTAATTATGCACTTGTTTTCTCATCTAAGTGATAGTTAGACGAGAAGATTGATACCACTCTCCTGTCTGTTCATTAACCTCCTGAGACCCAAGCTGCTGTTTATTTTAGTGTGTAGTGAAGTATACTGTTTATTTCAGATCTTCAGAAGCTTATTTCAATGTTTGAACATTGCTGTTCGAAAGCGAAAGTGCAAACAATGCAACTTTTGTCCAAAGCTGTGTCTCAGTTCAGGGGCTGCATTTGATTGCGTCACATCGGTGCAACCAAGGCTGTCCCAGGCCGAGAAATGCAGCCTTCTTTGCCAGAATTTGGAGGATGCAACGGATGAATCCCTCTTGGCACAGCCTATCCCAAGATGCATTGCCCGCCGATGACGATTATACTAGTTAATTAGTTTAGTTTATTGGCGGAACTCCACCAGCTGGTGATGCATTGTGGGATTTATACTAGGCCAAATACCGCTCAGGTGCGGTCTTACCGTAAGTGTGGGTAAAGTACAAATCAAGCGCACTGCACTTTTGGTCATCGTAGAAATGGGATAGACTTGCGCACTTACACTAAGCACATGGATGCGCAGGTCAAGTGTCCAAGTGCGTAAGTGTGATCAAGCACGCATAATGGGACAGGCTCTCACTCCAAGTCCGAAGCGCACTCTGGCACAAAGCAGACCATTGGTAAATTCGGAGCGCTGCTGGAATGCACCGTTGAGCTCTTGGAGTAGCAAAGTGCACTCTGGGCACCCTGCCTGGGGAGACGGAGCAGCAGAGCGTCAAAGGGAGTGAATGTGTGATGAGCTTAACCGTTCATTAATTCATGTAAAAACAGAACGCTCCATTTCCTCGAACAACAGGGCTCTCCTTTTAGTGTAGAGCATCAGATTGCATTAACAAACACACCCATAATTGACGTTTTTACACTTTGGTTTTCGCAGGTGTGATATAAGATATCAATTAGAGAGTTTTAGAGATGCAGCTGACTGTTGGTTTATATCTATTCCTTTAATTCAATTTCCAAAGGCACAACAGTGATTACACTGTTACCCCACTTCTCAGTGTAAAGACTACTTAGACACATCCCTGTTGTAACATTATTGAATTAATCTGGATGTGCAAAGTGACAATGATACATCCCCCCCCCCCCCGGCCTTCACTTTATTAAACCCCAGCTGTCATTCTACCTGCAAGGTAATTTACTCCTGTTCTGTTGCACCTCTCTCCTCAATAATCCTAAATCCTCTTAGCAACCAGAGATGACAGTGAGTTCATTAAATTCTGATTAACTTTAACACTGACAGCTCAGTGTGTTTGTTATTTCAGGCTTTATTTGAGCGGGGACCAACGAGACACCTCGAGATGCTGTAAAAGCTGTCACTCTACACTGAGTAGTGTTCTGGAGCTGGTGGTAATTTCCAACACCCCGTTATTGACTTTGAGCCTGTCGTTAACATGGCTGCAGATGACAGCTTGTGTTTCTCCTGTGTGTTGTGTGTCTGAGGCTTACACATGTCTGGCATGCTGTGTGGGGGTTAATGGCCTCATCTCCTCTAAATTAAGTGAATGAGGTGTTTTATTAATGAGTTTTAAGCCTCTAATTTATTCTACGCCCTTGAGTTTTTGTCACGCTGATGATCACCCATTTATTGTCACCATGCTTTGGTTATATAATATTACCAGACGTCTCTGCTGTCTTTATCATTTAGATTTCTCAAACCTGGTGTATTACTAAATATACAATAGGAATAAATATTCAGTGGAATTAACAATTCAAGAGGAACATGTTTTAGCTCACGTGTACATGTTCTTGTTAACATGTTATATCAGTGTTTCCAACATAT